GTCAGCAGAGTATAGAGAAGAGTAAGCTAGGGACAGGAGCAAGCACTAGGATATTCTCAAAAAGGAGTTAAGCCTGAGGGGAGAAATAAAACACTGCTCATGTGGCTGTGCAGGGCTTGCTTTCACCTTGCCTTCGTTTTTAAGCCTCTGCCTCCACACACACCCAAAGGACTGGTCAAGTAAGTAGTTTATTTTGCTAGAAGAAGGAAAACTGCCTGAACAAATGCTCTGAGAGGGGATTTGCACAGTGGGGTATGAATGGTGGATGCATATGTGTATGGAGGGTGCAGCTAGGAGAGGAGGGTCTTAGGGTGCTTTCTCAGGGTATGTAGAGGAGTGGGGAGGGAGAGCAGGGTGACCTGAGCTGTTATGGCCCCATGTGGCAGCTCTCCAGCACCCAAAGCACCATGGCTGTTGTTCCTAGGGGAACCAGCTCTGCTGCATGCCCAGCCCTGCTGCCACTTCCTTATCCATCTGGCTCTTGAGACTGACATCCCTGTCCATATTCCCCATAGGGTGGTCTGGCTTTAGGTACTGCCAGGTCACTTTACCTTTGGGCTTCAGTGTGGTGGGGTGAACACACACATGCTTTTTTATTTTCTTACAGATGCTGGTCAGAGCTTCCCTGTTCTCTTTGCAAGGTGTTTTTTTCTGCAAAATGCAGGTGCCAACCAGCTGGGAGAGCTCCAGCCTTTGATGCTGCCTCCCCACTGCAGCCCTGGCCTTGGGCACGGGCAGTGCACCACGGGCCAGCGTGTGTTTCTTGGCAGAGGAAGTAGCCAAGATCAGCTTTGGCCCATATATCACTGTTTCTCCCCTGACTGCAGCCGTGGTGCCTGTTCCGTGCTGTGCTAAGCCAAATTCATGGTGTGTGAGCCTGGCACCAGATCAGCCCCATGGCACTTGGTGAGCAGTGGGCATTTGTTGCCAGGTGGAACCTGTTCCTGTTCTATGTCATCAATATAAAGTCCCATCTCAAAGCTTTTTTTGCACTGATGCCCCCTTTTGTACTGACCAACATCTTCCTTTCAGGAACCAGTCTGACTGTCAATGGAACCAGGGGCTTTGTGATGAGAGGCCTCATGCCTCAGGGTTTCTGTGGGACCTTGGCTGGAGCCCCTACATGTTTCTGAGTTTTTGTTGGATTTGACTATACTGCTGCCCTGGGTAAGCGAGGCAGGGCGAGATGCCGGTGTGCACCTCCTCTGCAGGCTGGAAAACTGCAGCACTGAATCTCCACGTGGCCACAGCAGCTGAGCTGAGTGAAGCCACCCTGGGAATGTGTATGCTGCTGGCTGTGTCACCATTGCTGTCTTCCAGGTACAGAAAGGGCTGATTCTGTCTACAGCTACCCTGACCCTCCTTTTTGGCCGGAAAGCTCTGGTTGACATGATATCCATCCCTGGCCTACTTGCTGCCGAAAGGGCAGGCTCTGCCCAGCTCCCTCCTGCCCTCTCCTGATGGCTACGCGGCTGGTGGTGCTGGCACGGGACACTGCACCTCTCACCCAGTGCCTAACACGGGCTAGAAAAGAGTTAACTTCCCTGTGACAAACAACTTGGCTTCAGTCTTGTCCCTGCTTGTCCTGCTGTCGCTCCCACGTACAGCAGTGGCCTTGACTCTGCTGAGGAGCAGAGGAGGCTCATGCCAGGAGTGGCTGGTCCCCTAACTTGCCTGTGGTCTGTCCCCATATGTGCTGTTCTGCTAGGGCTGCTGGGGTGTCACTGCCCTGGGGATCCTGGGGACCCCCCTGCTCATCCAGAGGTGGCTGCAGAGCCAGGAGAAGGCATCCTTCACGCTGAGCAAGAAGCCTGGTGTCCAGGGGGCTTCCCAAAGGAGAGTGATGTGGGGGACAAACAAGTGCCATATCCCTCTGGGAAAAGGGTTGTACTGCATGGCATCGGGGGGCTGCTCTCTTCCAGGATCAAGCACTTCAAGAAGCACAGCCAGCTGTGGGTGCCAAGTGCCATGGCTGTGGGCCCTGGCTGGTACAGCTGCTGGTCCTTCCAGCGCCCATAGAGAAGACACGATGGCAAAACCTCCATCTTCTGAGGTCAGACACCTGCCTTGGCTCCTCCATGCAGGGCAGACTTGGGGCCACGTCACCCAAGACACTTGGCCCCGTGTGCAGGAGATGCTCTGCCCTCTCATTAGGGTGCTGAGGTGCAGAGCCCCTGGTCCTGGGCAGCACGGGAGCAGCAGGAGCACAGGCAGCCTGGCTGGAAAGCCCTTGCAGAGCAAGGGGCCCGTTTACCAAGGGGTGCTCGCATCCCTGAGGACGGCTCCTAGTCTCACTGACCCTCAGGAGCCCTCTGTCCCCACAGAGGGTTACTATGAGGTGCCCCAGCTGCATGTGGCCACCCCACACTGCTGCTGTGCCAAGTGCCTGCCCTGCTGGCCTGGGTGACCCTGCACTGTGAGCTCCCTCCTGAGGAGGTACCTGTGGATGGTATTGATGTCCAGAGCAGCCTTGCAACCCCCCGTTCCTGATCCTTGTATGTGGGCTTGTTCTTCTGCATAGGCAGCCTGGATGGAGCATGGCAGATCCCCACCACGTACGTGCTCATCTGTGTTAACTGTGAGTAGCTCTGGCTTAACAGGAGGTGGTTGCTCAGTGTGTCCTGCTCCTGGCCCTGGGTGCCAGCCCTACCACAGGGCCTTGGGAGAAGAGCAGGTCCTGTGCTCGCCTACCAGGCTGCCTGCTGCAGCTGGGGGAGCTGCTCCGTGATAAGGATCTGCACAAAGGACGGAAACGGCAGCGGTGTCGGCCCACGAGCGCAGCAGGGCTGCTGGTGCTGGGGCCTGCCCTGCATGGGCAGAGGGGAGCCCCTGGAAACACAGGTGCAAAAAGGAAATGGGAAGGGAAAAAAACAGGAAGCAGCCTGGGCTGCTACAGATGCACCAGGGAGGCCCTTCCCTGGGGTGCCCATGGCTGCATGTGCCCCCAACGCTGCTCTTGTGCCCACAGCTGTGGTGCCTGCCCTATGTGTGGGCATCTGCTGGCACCCACATCTGTGTGCTCCCCCCTTAGCCTGCAGCACAGCCTTCCTGCTGTCCTGTTCCCTCTGCCTGCAAGGAAAGGCCAGGATGCACCAGCCAGGCTGGCATGGAGCAAACCTGCTCCTTTGCTGCTGCTCACATTCCCGATGCTGTTTGTTTCCATGCAGTAAAATGAGTGGTTTATTCAGCGACTCCCTCACTGCTTGCCCAGAGCAGCTGCCTCCAGGCATCGGTTCCCCCCCAGAAACGCTGATGCTGCATTCTTTAGGCTGCTGCTTTTGGAGTTGTTATTGGTGCTGATTCCAGTGCATGGGCTGGGTATGCACACATGCCCCTCCAACCCCAGCTAAACGTGCCTGGGCCAGAGCAGCTGCTGTCCCACCACGCTCCTGTGCCCAGTGGAAAGTGCTCCTGTGCATCCATCCGTCTCTGTGTCTCCATGCCTGTTCCAGCAGCGTCTCCCTGGGATGGGGATGTGGGACAGGAGGGCAGGAGCTGCTGGTGGTTGCTCCCCTCCAGAAGGGTGCTCTGTGGCTGAACGTGCAGCCTGGTGCTGGGGGGCAGCGCGAGGCAGGAGGGTTTGGCCTCTGCGTGTTGCTGAGCGGGTGCACCCAGGCCCTGAGCGGGATTCCTGGGAGCAGCTTGCAGGAGGAGGGTGGCATGGAGAGGCGTGAGCTTTGCCGGCTCCCCCTCATCTCCAAGGAGCAGGGCAGGCCCCGGGCAGGAAAACGCTTGCTTTCAGTGTGAAAAGGCAGTGGTGACACTTCCCTGAGCAATGACCGGAGCCAACCTGGGTGCTGGCAGCTCGGGGCAGCCAGAGCAGAGAGCTGGGACACCTCTCTCATTGCCTCCCATCTCCAGCAGAGCCTTTCCCAGGAGGAATGGCACAGCTGCCGCTGTCTGCCACTCAACAGCGGTGCCCTTGGTCAGCGCATGCTCCTGCGTGGCTGCTTCCCAGGTAGGGCCAAGCACTGGTCCGGATTCACTCCCTGAGCGGGCCCAGCTGGCCGGTCTCGAGCGCGTGTCCTTGGTGCTGGATGCAGGGATGTCCAGGGCAGCCCCGCGGCAGCGGGAGGATGGATGTGTCCCACAAAACGTGTCCCAGCGGCTCCGGGGCCGCGTGCCCGCGGGAAGGCCCAGCGCCGCGGGGTGCTACGTGGTGGCCACGAGGGGCCCGTGCGGCCGCCAGCTCCTCGGACAGCTGCCTGCGGGCAAAGGGACGTGCTGCCACCCCGGAGGTGCCACCCGCACGCATGCACCGAGGCCTGGCTGCTGCTGGGCAGGTACCTGCTCATGATCAAGTGGTTCTGCGTGCGAGCGTGCAGGTCCTCGTTCTCCTGCTGCAGCGTTTTCACCTTCTCCTCCAGCCGCAGGTTCTGCTCTACCTGGTGGGGCCGGGAGAGCGGGAGGGTTTTGGGGAGCCGTGGGCCTGGCACCCTGCAGGGATGCACCCCAGTCCCCGCAGCACCGGGGCCTTGCACTGAGCCCACGGCCCCGCTGCGCTTGGGGTCCAAGGGGCTGGTGGCCAGAGGGAGGAACCAGCTCCCATCTCTGTGCCGGCTGCGGCTTCTTCAGGGG